TTTTCAGAGAAACAGAACAAGCAGGAAAAAATATATATGGATTTATTACAAGAATTGACTCTTGAGATTATGGAGGCCCAGAAGTCCCAATCTGCTTTCTGTAAGTTGGAGACCTCTGAAAACCAGTGGTGTAATTCTGAGTCCAAATACCTAAGAACTGGGTGGTCACTGATTAAAGTCCTAGAATCTGAAGCTTGAGAAACTGGAGCTCTGATATCCAAGAATAGATGATGATATCTCAGTTTCAGAAAGGAATAAATTTGCTTGTCTGTGCCTTATTGTCCTTTTCCATCCTTGGGTGATTTAATAATGTCCACCCACACTGATAAGAACAATCTTCTCTGCCAAGCCTGTGATCCAAATGTTAGTCTCTTCCAAAAACATCCAGATGCACCTAGACAATGTTTTACCAGCTGTCTGGGCATCCCCTTAACCTACTCAGACTGACACGTAATGTTAAGCGTCTCACCATGTGAGAAAGAACTGCATTCCGTTTCCATATCAAGGTTATTTTTCAGTGAGTAAGTTCATTGGAATAATACATTTTGAGAAATGAAGAGTAACATTTGCTCACACAGTTTTCAAATCGTGTAATTTGGAACCATGGTTTTGTAGTATTGTTGCTGGCCAACATGGGCCCTTGCTTTAGTAGAAATGGAAATTAAAACTAAAGCACAAGTTTACAGGCAAAGCTTTAATTGAAAAGTTACAGGGAAGATAGGAAAGGACTCCAGCTTAGGTAGCTGGAGAAAATACACTCACAGAGGGGTTCAGACTGGCCTACCTGGGAAGGTGGGAGGCTGGCTTTTAGGAACAACTGGTGAGCTGAGGTCTAGTTGATCATTATCTCAGTACTGGTATCAGAGTTCTAGAATCTGTACAGCTGAGAGATGGTTTCAGTCCTAGAGAAGGGTTGCCTCTGTCCATGTTGGTCTCAGTCCTGTGGGCTCCACCTTTGCTGGGGTCCAGCCCAGGTGATCACACATTCAAGACAATGGCCAGAGACCTCTGGGTGCAGCAGAATGTTCCAGTAAACTTCTTATGTTGATGTCCTGGGTCTTGACAGGAGATGAGATCACATAATTTCAGAGCCAACCAACCTTGTCCAGCCAGCTCCTAAGCAGATATTCTCTAACTAATCAGCATACATTCATGCAGAGCTGAGAAGAGACCTCGCCCAAGATTTACAGCAACAAAGGATACAAAGTGAAGCTCAAGTTTTGTTCTGTTCTCAGTTACCTTTTGGTCATCTGTAGGTACAAATGAAGAGTCACGGTTCATAGCAAAAATGGCTCTTCAGTCCCTGACTGTCCCAGAAGAAAACACAAAGTCATGATTTCAATGAGTAGCAGGTAAGGGCCCAGGATTCTACTTGTTACCTACGCTGTGGTGGTCCCTGGCTATGTCGTGACGGGACCAGTGTGTTACAAGGTGTTAAATACATACATAAATAGAGTTCTGTAACCAAATAAGTCTAAGACAGCTAAATAAAATTAAACAAATATCCTAGAATAACTACCATACTTTAAAATTCAAAAATGTATTTTGAATTCTAAATAGGGCAACCCCAGTATGAAGCATATTCCCCTTTCCTGAGTTTTGTTTTTGTATGATGCTTGGAGTTTTAGGCCTTTGCAGAAATAAAGGCTTGTAATGTACATTTTTGTCAAAGCAAATGAGTTCTTTACAGTGGATGGTGTTTCTACACGTGACCTTGAAAATAAAGTAACAAAGGAGGAAAGTAGGAATATTAGGCTGACAGACATTTTAAAGTAGGGCATAGGCTGCCATAAAAAGCTTTTTGAAAGTTTAAAGTAGGAGTTAAAATGAGTGCTCTATGAAAGATACTGGATTAGAGTCTCTGAATATTTATTATACAAATGTGCAAGTGTATGACCAGCTTCTTCTCAGCGTGGGGAAGACATGGGCTAGAATCCAATTCACATTTGAGATCACTTCTTTTTAAAATTTCATACTAGAAAAGAAGGCTGTGTTCGTTAACTTTACAAAGATAAGCCCCAGGATAAGATTTGAGCTCACTGTGGTGTCTTTAATTATCTAGGGAGCCGCCCTCAGGAAGTGGTCAGGACCCCTGTGAAGACAGGTGAGGGGATCCAGCGGGAAGGATTGAAGGAGGCAGCTGTGGGATTAATTTGGAGAAGCACCTTTGCTGAAATTTCTCATAAAGTATACATGGAGAGCAAGGGCATCAGGAGATATAGAACTCTCTGGGTCAAAAAATAAATCTGAATTTCCATGGCTTTTCTGTGTTAGTCCTTATTGAAAAATTCATTTACCACTAATGGTGTCAAGTGGCCCTGTCAGTGCTTGTTATTGTAACAGAAAGAAAAATAAGGAGCCAGGCCTGAAAAGCAATGTTGCTATTTCTATTTTCCAACTGCTGGGGAAAACAGATTCTGTTATCTAAACCTTGAAGGGCCAAGGGTCCAAAGAGCCACCTTGTTCTGGTGTGTTTCTAAAGCCTAGTAAGAGGTACTAGTAAAAAGAAGGTGGAAAAATCCCAGGAAAATGGAAAATAAACTAAACAATAATTCTAAAGCCCTAGCATGTGCCACTTTTTAAATCCTAGGAAATATCAGATATAATACTATTTTTTTTTACCTATATAAGAAAACAAGTCATAGCTATGTCAGTTGTACCATGTGAGTCTCAATTACATTGTATGAACTAGGAATTTTTTTAAAAAATTAGATCCTATCAACATTTGTACTTTTCTAACCCAGATTTCTAAACAACCCACAAAGCCATATGCAGGACACTCCCAGAAAAAGGCCAACTAGTGGAAACTATGCTGAAATAACTCAAGTCTTTAATGTTATCATACTGGTCTCAGTAACTTAACACATAGAAAATACTCATGAAAGATATTTTATCAACCCAAACTAAGAAGCTCAGGCAGGCGCAGTGATATGTGTTCACTCGTGGGCCTACTTGTTTTCGATACTGGTCTTCAGTGATAATCACTCTGTGTAAGATTTATTCTCCATGAGCCGCCGCACAGCAGTACTTAGGTCTTTACTGGTCCCTTGGGAGGGAGAAACAGTTGCCATCCCGGGTCATAATAACTCTATCTGAATAAATAGCAGTTTCAACCTGAATTTGCAAGCTCAGAGCTCACTCATCTTTTACCCACCTGATGAGAAGTTGTTGGACACCAGGCACAGAAGATTTTTTCCTCTTATTTTTGAACTCCTGGGGTACATAAGGATTTAACGTGATTTTCCTTTATTCTGAACGTATCAGAGCATCTCCTCCCCCCCCCCCTTACATACTCTGCAAATATCTGGGCCCTTTCTTTAACACCTTTTCTGGTGTCTGTGAGTTCAGAAAGAATCTAGAATTAGAATGTCTGGAACTCATGAGAATGGAGTGGTCATTTTGCCCAATGGTTTCGTTTGATAAGGACTTACTAGAGACCCAGAAAAGTGTGGGAACTTGCGTATGATCCCGAGCGTTTATTGGCAAATCTTGGCCTAGTCTCCCTGATTTTTGATCTCATTTCATCGAGTGTTTCCTGGGTCTGGTATCCTCACGGAGTCAAGAAAATAATGAGACACTAACACTAACCATACTTTGTGAAACTTTGATATCTGTCTTCATCTAAAGTTGGGTTATGTCTCCAGAATCTTGAATTTCTAACTCAACTCAGAAGTCAATTGTTAAACCGGGCATGGTGGTGCATACCTGTAATCCCAGCACTCGGGAGGCTGAGGCAGGGGGATCACTGCAAGTTTGAGGCCAGCCTGGGCTATAAAGTGAGCTCAAGGCCAGCCTGAACTGCATAGCAAGACCTTGTCTCAAAAAGACAAAAAACAATAAATAAAGAAATATCTCGCCAGGCATGGTGGCTGCACTCCTGTAGTAGGAGGACTGTTGCAAGTTCAAGACCAGCCTGTGTTACAAAGTGAGCTCATGGCCAGCCTGAACTGCATTGGGAGAGCCTGTCTCAAAAAAAAAAAAAAAAAAAAAAAAAAAAATCACTTGTTTTCTGGGTGTGGTGGCACATGCCTATAATACTATACTCACTCTTGGGCGGCTGAGGCCAACCTGGGCTACATAGTGACACTAAACTACATAGCAAAACCCTGTCGAAAGAAAGAAAGAAAGAAAGAAAGAAAGAAAGAAAGAAAGAAAGAAAGAATCACTTCTTTGATTTCCCCATGAAGGCAGGTGTCTCTTTTGCAGTATTCTTTTTTTCAGAAGAGAAAAAAAAAATAAAAGCAATGATACAGAATTTCAAAACAAGATGATAGGAAATTAACAATGGTCATTATATTTCATACTGTTAACTTCAAAGTACCTGCTCAGATTTCAAGATATAGGCATGCAAAACTGATCAAACAATATAAGCACAAATTGTTCCTTTCAATGATCTAATACAAATTAGTAGTATAATTATACTAGTTATCTTGTGTATATATGTGTATTTTCCCCCCATACCCATATGTGTATTTTACTGCATACATTTTAAAAAGTAAATAAGAAAATAGAGTGTGGTATATAATAATACAGCCTACAGAGGAAGCTTAAGCACAGCAAAGGGAGATGGAGAATATGTGTATGCTCAGGGGTTTGAAGGCTTGGTGCTGTACTTAGGGTGATTAGTGAAGAAGTCACCAGTGAAATGACCTTTAAACAAACATAGAAAAGAAATGAGGGAGGAGGACTTTCAGCTATTGGGGTGAGAAGATTTGAGAATAAAAATGAGTCTGATATGTTTGAACAAGACCACTGTAGAGGTTCCAGTGGAAGGAATGGGGGGATAATGGTAAGGGATGATGCTGGGAAGGTTATGGGATAAACTCTCTCCCCTGAGAATGTATACACAGGACCCCTAAATTGCAGAAGGTGCTGGTGTTTGGCAAAAGGATCTTAAAAATAGTAATAAAATTAAAACAAGATCTTAATGATCATTAGATCCTTAGGCCTTAATCTAATATAACTGCTGTCTTGTAAGAAGAGAAACTTAGACACAGATGTGTATGCACGGAGGACCACATAAAGATAGAGGACAAGGCAACCACTTACAAGGCAAAGAGACAGGTTCCAGAAGACACTAACCCTGCTAATGATTTGATCTTGGACTTCCAGGTAACAGAACTGTGTGAAAACAACTCACCCTTGTGCAGTTCACCTGGTCTGTGGCATTGTGTTGTAGCAGCTCTTGTAAGCTACCACAGAGATGAAAAGACCATACTGTCTGTGTCTTTGAAAGTCATTTCAAGTATTTTGAACAGAGTGTGAGCCATTGGGGTTTTTGAGCAGATGCAGGGCATAATTTGGCTGATATTTTAAAGAGGTCACTTTAGCATCTGTATTGAAAGTAGTCCACAGGGTGGCACGGAGAGAAGAAAAACCAATAGGAGGGTGTTGCCAACATTTACACGAAGGTAGGAAGTGATGAGAACAGAAAAGCTTTGGAATATAATTTCAAGTTCGTGCACAAAAGATTGTTGGATAAATTGGAACTGTGATGAATGAGAGTAAAAATAATTAAGGAGCTGACAATAACCCAAAGCATTTGATTACGGCAACTGGAAAAATGGTAATTCATCAAGATGGCTAAGACTGTAGGAATAGCAGTTTTTAGTGGGGAGGTCGAAGTTTAACTTGGTCATGGTAGATCTGCAGTGCTTACTCATCTTTGAGTTTGAGATCCTGTTGCATATATTAATTTAGAATTCAAAGGAGTGGTCAGGGCAAGGATATAGCTACACTGAGAGAGCTCACATACTGTATAAAGAAAACAAAAAGAGAACACGTGATATGGAGGGTCCTTGGAAGGTTTGAGGTTGGTAGGATAAGCAGTAATGAAGAAAATCAAGCAAAGAAGGAACAGCAGGTGCAGTAGGGAGGGAATGAAAGAATGATTTCAGAGAAGACATAGCAAGAATATATTTCATGGAAAAAGAATGATTGCTAGGGTAAATGCTCCAGATATATAAAGTAAGATAAGGACCTCATCAGATTTAGTGATAGAGTAATACTGATCACCAAAGTAGGTTCGAGGAGGGGCAGGGATGGAAGTATGATTGAAATGGGTTTAAGAAAGAAGTATGGAGATGAATTTGAGTGAGTAAGAATATTCTCTTAAGGATGTTTTGCTGTAAAGGGGCAAAGAAATTGTGTAGTACCTAAAGCAGACTACCAAGAGGTGGCATTTTTTTTTTAGAATTACCATATAATCAGATACAAGGGGAATAATTCAATAACAAAGGAACACTGACAAAGCAGGAGAGTGAACAACTATTGCAACAACATCCTAGAGCAGATAAGAGTTTCAAAATGACAAGCAAAATACAAGAGTAAGGGCAGTTGCTCTTAGATAGGACCAACATCTACATCTGTGTTGTATTCTGTGGTAGTCACTAGCTGTGTGACTATTTAAGTTTAATTTAAAATGAAGTCATTTAAAATGCAATTATTCAGTTGCTCTAAAAACTATGGCTAGTGATTACAGTACTACGCAGCACCAACTAGAAGAAAGTTCTGTTGGACAGCCCTGAGATATGTCATAAGGCGAGGCAGACATTTGTATGGACACGAAAACAGGTTGGCAGGTGGATATGGTGGTGGGAACTCGGCCAAGGTCTTTGCTGATTTCTCCCACTTTCTTATTTAAAAAGAAGGCAAGCTCATGGGCTGTGTAGGATTTAGAACTTTGAGGAAAAGTGCATGCTATGGTTTAAATGTGCTTTGTTCTCTCCAAAACATATGTTAAAAGTTTAGGTCAGTAGTTTAGGTTAGTAGTTTATAATATAGAGATACCAGTCAGGATGCAGTGTATTTTTCTCCAACCCTGTTCACTAGCAAGAATGCAATCTTTGACTAGTGAAAAATGAGCTGGTCAAATAAATGGTTTTCAATACTGGGTGCACATTGGCTGCACTTGGGTGTAGCCTCTTCCTCAAAGGTAGAAGGTGTGATTCAACTTCTCCTTCTCCTTCTCCTTCTCCTTCTCCTTCTCCTTCTCCTTCTCCTTCTCCTTCTCCTTCTCCTTTTCCTTCTCTTTTTCTTCTCCTCCTCCTTCTCCTTCTTCTCCTCCTCCCCCTCCCCCTCCCCCTCACTGTCTCTGTCCCTGTGTCTGTCCCTGTCCCTCTCCCCATTCCCCTCCCTCTCCCCTCCCTCTCCCTTTCCCTATCCTCTTCCCTCACCTCTTTTTCTTCTTCTTTTGAGACAGAGTCTCATTATGTAGTTATGGCTGGTCTTGAACTCACTATGAAACCCAGGCTGGCCTCAAACTCTCAGTGAACCTCCTGCTTCAGACTGCCAAGTGCTGAGATTATAGGTGTGCCTCCAGGCTCAGCTATAACTGAAAATTTTGAAAATGGGCCCTGGGCATTGATCTATACCTAATGCAATTCTCACACAGACATGTGTTTGAGAACCACGGAGTGGGAGCAAAAACACGGAGAAAATGTAGAGAAATGAGGAAAAAGAGAACTTTGCTACTGAAGGACCATGAAAGCCACAAAGTGCAAAGAAAGGGACTCAGGAGTAGAGGAGGGACAGGGTTGGGATCACCTTGGGAGTGTTCAAGGCTGATGGCTGATGAGGAATGGGCTGGGAATTCAGAGTTTCTTGGGTAACAAATACAAATTGGGCAGAAGACACCATGAGACTTGTCATGCTTATGTAAATCAGCTAATTAATAGAAGGTAAAGCCAACTACATAATTTAAAAACTTTTTCATAATCTCCCTAAAAAGAAAAGAAAGAGGCAAACTTAATTTTAATAATAACATATTTTAGGCAATCAACATATGCAAAAATCTCTTTCAACATGAAATCACTGTAACATTTATTTTTTTAATTTTATTTTAAAGAGAAAAGAACAAAAACAAAATAAAAACAAAGACAAAAATAGAATAATACAAAAACTATAAAGATGATACAAAATTTCAAAAAAAAGATAATAGGAAATCAACAATGGTTGTTGTATTACTTATTGTTGTCTTCAAAATATTTGCTCAGATTACTAGATATAGGCATGCAAGACTGATCAAACAACTAAACATTAACTGTTCCTTTCAATAAACCAATAGAAATTATAGTACAATTATCTTAGCTATCTTGTGTATATATGCATGTATTTTTTCCTTTCCTTCTTTCTTTCTTTTCTCCCTTCCCTCATCCCGGTTGTTCTTTCCTATTGAGCTGTTTCTTTCCCTTTCACAATATCTATTGTACCTTTCAGATTCTATTTACGTTTCAGATTCTTACACTAGGTGTAACATTTATTAACGCGATATTTTTTTCAGTACTTTGCTTTCCAAATTTGGTGAGCATTTTATGGATGATGCAC